CCCCCCCCCTCCCCCTTGTGCAATGTTGTTAAAACAATTTTGAGGTCAGGGCTTATCAAATAATATGTTTTCAACATTGTTAGTGGGGTGAGGGGGGCACGCACGTGAAAAAAATCATCAAAATGTGAAGAGTCTCATTATTTTTGCACGCGATTGTAGGGCCTTTACTAGGCAGGCGACACTATGCGCGCTGAAATATAAATAGGCTGCTATGACTGTAGAAAAAACTAAACCAACTTAATTTATAGTTATACTGGATAATACTGGATAGCTCTATCAGTTCAGTCTAAACTGTACTCCTATTGTTGGAGGCAGGGCCGTAGCGACCGGAGGGTGTGGGGGGTGCAACCCCCCTAACATTGCTCATGAGCAATTTCAGGTAGATTTCCAGCAGATGTTCAGGGAAATTCAGATAATTCTCAGGGCATAAAAAAAGTGAACTCTATAGTCTGAATCAGAATTATAGAGTTAACAATCGAACAAACTAAATTAAGACGTTGAGACGTGTTGTGGCAGGGGGACAATTGCCAAATACCCTTTCAGAAAGGGTATTTGGCAATTGTCCCCCTGCCACAACACGTCTCAACGTCTTTAGTTTGTTCGATTGTTAACTCTATAATTCTGATTCAGACTATAGAGTTCACTTTTTTTATATGGCGGCCCTTCTGACGATCTGGAGACTCCACTGAAATTTCCAAAATTCTCTCAACTGATTTTCCTATAGTTAGAATGTAAGTAGCAATACTTATCTTCATTGTAATTGCTTGAATGTCTATAAGAAGTCTTGTCATGCGATATTTGCCCATCGGTATGGCCAAGAAAACAGGAAAGGGCAACAAAATCTATAAGTCTGCATTTTAGGCCGAGAAGAACATGGAAAACTGTAAAATAAGTTACTCGGTAGCATAATTCTTCTCGCTCCCGAGATACTTTAAGTGTGATTTGATATGTAAATAAACAAATAGAGAAATTTGTAAATAAATAAATAAGTAAAGAAATAAATCTATGACATTACAAACGCGAGTAAATCTTTTTTCAAACGCGGCAGCCTCGTCAAATGTTTAAAAATAATGAAATAATTCAAACTATGTTGTTGATTCCTTTAACCAATTAACTTGCATAGAAAGTTATGCCGCAAGCAGGCGCTCTTGGTTTGTAAATTTGGTTGAGTTAAAGTTTAATTCTTCCTGTACTAAGCCGGACCTTTCGGGAGAAGAGTTTAGAACAGATAGCATTAAGCTAAAGTTTCCTAAAGTATCCATTTATTATAATAAAAGGCTTTAAAAGTATGTTGTTTATACTTGTTTTTAATTTTCTTTGTTCACGGTAAGAGGGGGGCAAAAACTGTACTCCCCCACAAGCTAGCAAATGTAGTTAGTTATACATGCAGTGTTGAAATTCTTTAGAGAGATATCGTGTTCTCTATTTGGGTATGCATATAAAGTGTGAGCTATATAAGGTACCCAAAACATACGATCCAGAAGAGTTTTGAACGAAGATTAAAATGCGGTAAGTTCGAAGTAAATCTTAACCTAAATCTTTTTTTAACAATATATATGCCAGATTTTTTAGTGCTTCATGTTATTCTGATGTTTAGGTCATATAAGTCGCATGCATATGCTTAATTTTCAAACTGTATTGCACTACCGTATATATATACGGCAAGGAAAGCAAACTTGCAGATCATATGCAGATTTTGCACTTTATATATATACTATAGCCTACTATGATAGCTATAACAGTGTATACTATATATACATTTTACACGGAATGATTTGCAACGACGACTTTAAATTATTTGCATGTACGGATTTGCATACAAGTCAGGGCGCCCTAATTATACTTCAGCGCTAAATGCATGACAGTCGCATGCATTCTGAGGCATATGAAAACTGCTTGCCCCATTTTCCCTCTCGTCGGTCCGACGTCCCTGGCCGATAATCTTTCACTGTATAAGAAACGTGACGGTTACGGTTTTCACTTTTCACGACGAAAATACTGGCGCTTAATTAGCGGTGAAGGAGGAAAAATACGACGCATGCATTGGCGCATTTGAGAGGCTGTTTTCGGATATATCTCAATTATCCTGGTGGTTCACGGTGAAGAAGTTATCGCTCGATGATTCAAAATCTTGAACATATATAGACTGCATTTGTCATGAGCTCGATTTTTGGAAGATCGTCTGTCTTCACAGAAATAGAATCTAATGAAGCATAGGAAATTTGTCTGATTGAATCAGACCATTATGGTATATTACAATGGTATATCTTTAAAAAGCATATTAAATATAATTATTGATAAAAAAAGCACAAAATGCGTGATAGCGACTATCTTTGTATCTCCAAATTACAGCAAATAGAAATATTTCGAAAGTTCGGTACCTCAAATATACGTTTAGCTTGGACGTAATCACCTGAATGTCTACGAAGTCCTATCATGTGATAACAGGCTATATATATAGGCCACTGAAAACAGGAGAGTTTACTGTAAGGGAAACAAAAGTTAAGTCTGCATTTTAGGCTGAGAAAGAACATGTAAAACGGTAAACTAAGTTTCTCGGTAGATTATTTATTGTCGAGTAATGTAGTAAATGTACTTGTAAGCAAGAGCGTAGCCAGCTCCAAGCAAGTTGGGGGGTGGGGTGGTCTAATCGTCCCCCAGATATACATGGTCCCCCATATACACGTTTTATGATTATAATCTGAAAGCCACAGATTTGGTATATTTTATGTCACAGATGAAAACATTAAGAGCTGATCACATATATTCCTGATCGTCGAGTTGACCGGTCACGGATTTTAGAGCTCCCTTGATTATATTCCTAATAGCTTAATTATGGCTACAAAGAAACTAAGGGAAGAAAACGAACTCCTACGATCGGAGATCGAAGGGTTAAAGAACCAACTATACAAGATAAGCGAAGATTTGAAAACACAACAAGCTACTGCAGCATCAAAGTCAAGCAGAACCGCTGAAGCGAAACAGGCAAAAGATACGATCGAACGAACGAACTCTGAGGAACGAGCAGAGGCTGTTGTCTTTATGAGGCGCAAGTCACTGTGAGTGACCCACTGGAGTGACCTAGCTTTTTCAGTTCTACGACCTAGGGCCTTTACTAGGCAGGCGATACTAGGCGCGCTGAAATATAAATAGGCTGCTATGACTGTAGAAAAAACTAAACCAACTTAATTTATAGTTATACTGGATAATACTGGATAGCTCTATCAGTTCAGTCTAAACTGTACTCCTATTGTTGGAGGCAGGGCCGTAGCGACCGGAGGGTGTGGGGGGTGCAACACCCCCTAACATTGCTCATGAGCAATTTCAAGTAGATTTCCAGCAGATTTTCAGGGAAATTCAGATAATTCTCAGGGCATAAAAAAAGTGAACTTTATAGTCTGAATCAGAATTATAGAGTTAACAATCGAACAAACTAAAGACGTTGAGACGTGTTGTGCCAGGGGGACAATTGCCAAATACCCTTTCTGACGATCTGGAGACTCCACTGAAATTTCCAAAATTCTCTCAACTGATTTTCCTATAGTTAGAATGTAAGTAGCAATACTTATCTTCATTGTTTAATAGGCAATACTAAAATATTGAAATATTGGGTAGGACTCAAAATGCCATTTCCGACGTAAATAAATCTATAGTCACAATCTAAGTAGCAATACTTATCTTCATTGTTAGGAAGTAGCAATACATATTATCTTCATTGTTTAATAGGCAATACTAAAATATTGAAATATTGGGTAGGACTCAAAATGCCATTTCCGACGGTCTAGCGACTTCAAATTTTCAAAAACTTTTGCTCGGCAACAACGAAGTTGGCGCCTCGCAGGCATCGCAAAATCAGGCAAAAAGGTTCAGTTGGAAAAATTCAGGTATAAATCTAACCTCCCCCCTCCCCCTCCCCGCCAAAGGCAAAGTCTTGGCAACGGTCCTGGTTGGAGGTCGAGTGTGTTTGGTCATAGTGGTTGAGTCACTCAGTCAACGGACTCTCAAATAACTCTCATATTTACGTCGAAGGTACAGAAAGGCATACATAAAAGGCACCTACCATTGTGGCACATTAATTTCGTGAAAGCCAAGCCAAATTAACTTCTTCTGTCGCAATGAATGTTGTACATTATTATGTATAGGTGTAAATTATTTTTGTATATTAAATATAATTATTTGTTTGGTATTTATGGCAACACATATATTGCTTTCGATCCGTAAACCTGCATGGACTACTACTCATGATTCATGAAGACCAGACTTGGACCGAAACTAACTTCGCCAAAGAAGTATAAACGTATTCACAAAACAGACTGAGTTGCAAATAGTGTTCAACCTTCCACGCTGTAAAATTTCAAGTTTTCAAACCTTTCTCAAAATAATGTGAATGATGCTTTTTACAAATTGCAAACTATATAAATTATGTCATTCAAAATCGGCGTCTTATTCCTATTTCCTATTCGGCTATTGACTATATCTTTTAGCATTGATCAGCTGGTTGATTGCATTGCTATTTCTAAAGTTAGCCGCTAGGAAATGTTATACCACAAAACTATTTTCGATCTTATTGTTGTCATATTTGTTGAACCAAACGTGAACAGATGCGCGACACCTGCACATTTTACAGAATATTTTTTTCAGTTTTTATTGTTTTCTCCTCCGTATTCTCCAATATGATAACCATCCAGTATCGTTACTATCACAATAGTTACTAACACAACATCAGCATCCTGCCAATTTCAACCTGCCTAGTCAAGTACCATTTACTTGTTTTAGGAGGTTGGTGTTGAGTAGAGACTAGAGTGTTCTACATTAAACCTTCCTCATTGATCTCCCATGTGGTATAAACCTTCCTCACGGGTGGTATCCGCATACCCGCAGCTTTTTTGAAACTCTGTGGCACAAAACAAAAACAATTATGTTTATTTTCATACCATGCAAACCTCATGCAGACAAGGTCGACGATCTTATTGTCGTTTATTTATGATATTTATATTTAAAAAGCAAATTAAAATGCGTGATAGCCAGCGAGCTATAGCCATGGCAACTGCTCATAACATTTGCATAGCATGACCTGTTGCTATATGCCTATATATGGCTTTTTAATGTCCAAATTACGGCAAATGGAAATATTTCGAAAGTTCGGTACATTTAATATTTTTACAGCCTCGTACCCAGGCTATTTAGTAATTAATAGCGTTTAGAGCTCTGCGTGAGCTATAGGCGCGCGGGGATTCTTGCAGCTCGCCCAGAGCTCTGAACGGTATTAATTACTAAAGAGCCTGGGTACGAGGCTGATATTTTTAGCTTTAATTTGGCGTAATTGCCTGAATGTCTATAAGAAGTCTTGTCGTGTGATATTTGCCCATGGGTATACTTATATGGAAAAGGCAACTAAATATGAGGAAAGAACAACAAAATTATAAGTCTGCATTTTAGGCCAAGAAGAACATGAAAAACTGTAAAATAAGTTACTCGGTAGCATAATTCTTCTCGCTCCCGAGATACTTTAAGTGTGATTTGATATGTAAATAAACAAATAGAGAAATTTGTAAATAAATAAATAAGTAAAGAAATAAATCTATGACATTACAAGCGCGAGTAAATCTTTTTTCAAACGCGGCAGCCTCGTCAAATGTTTAAAAATAATGAAATAATTCAAACTATGTTGTTGATTCCTTTAACCAATTAACTTGCATAGAAAGTTATGCAGCAAGCAGGCGCTCTTGGTTTGTAAATTTGGTTGAGTTAAAGTTTAATTCCTCCTGTACTAAGCCGGACCTTTCCGGAGAAGAGTGTAGAACAGATAGCATGCATTAAGCTAAAGTTTACTAAAGTATCCATTTATTATAATAAAAGGCTTTAAAAGTATGTTGTTTATACTTGTTTTTAATTTTCTTTGTTCACGGTAAGAGGGGGCAAAAACTGTACTCCCCCACAAGCTAGCAAATGTAGTTAGTTATACATGCAGTGTTGAAATTCTTTAGAGAGATATCGTGTTCTCTATTTGGGTATGCATATAAAGTGTGAGCTATATAAGGTACCCAAAACATACGATTCAGAAAAGTTTTGAACGAAGATTAAAATGCGGTAAGTTCGAAGTAAATTTTAACCTAAATCTTTTCTTAACAATATACCCGACTGCATTTCAGGCCCCTCCCGCCAAAGATCTTTGGCGGGGAAAAAGTTTCTACTGACTTTTGGTGGCGTATTTTGGCGTGCATTTTAGCTCATCAACTATTTTTGGCGGCGTGCAGTCTAGAAAAATGGCGGATACACAAATATACCAATGATTATTAATTCATGTTTGAATAATATATCATTATTTTATTTAAATAAAGTCCCTTTCTTCCTTAACTTGTTTACAACCTTTTCTACTTGACCTGTTCAATTTTGTGATTTTTAATTAAATAAATCTTCAGCATTTCCATGATAATTATGTTGTTTATGTCTAAATTTATGAATTGTCTGTCGAAGTCGTCGTTTCTTATCGAACTAATAAGATGAGATTTTTGCACCTTTGGCGCATCTAACTTGACTTTAGATAGTCTTTGGCGGATCTAGTTTTGAAACTGAATTTCCGGCGTGAATCTTTGGCGGCGAGAAAAGATGGAATGCAGTCAGGACAATATATATGCCAGATTTTTTAGTGCTTCATGTTATTCTGATGTTTAGGTCATATAAGTCGCATGCATATGCTTAATTTTCAAACTGTATTGCACTACCGTATATATATATACGGCAAGGAAAGCAAACTTGCAGATCATATGCAGATTTTGCACTTTATATATATACTATAGCCTACTATGATAGCTATAACAGTGTATACTATATATACATTTTACACGGAATGATTTGCAACGACGACTTTAAATTATTTGCATGTACGGATTTGCATACAAGTCAGGGCACCCTAATTATACTTCAGCGCTAAATGCATGACAGTCGCATGCATTCTGAGGCATATGAAAACTGCTTGCCCCATTTTCCCTCTCGTCGGTCCGACGTCCCTGGCCGATAATCTTTCACTGTATAAGAAACGTGACGGTTACGGTTTTCACTTTTCACGACGAAAATACTGGCGCTTAATTAGCGGTGAAGGAGGAAAAATACGACGCATGCATTGGCGCATTTGAGAGGCTGTTTTCGGATATATCTCAATTATCCTGGTGGTTCACGGTGAAGAAGTTATCGCTCGATGATTCAAAATCTTGAACATATATAGACTGCATTTGACATGAGCTCGATTTTTGGAAGATCGGCTGCCTTCACATGCAGAAATAGAATCTAATGAAGCATAGCAAATTTGTCTGATGGAATCAGACCATTATGGTATATTACAATGGTATATCTTTAAAAAGCAAATTAAATATAATTATTGATAAAAAAAGCACAAAATGCGTGATAGCGACTATCTTTGTATCTCCAAATTACAGCAAATAGAAATATTTCGAAAGTTCGGTACTTCAAATATATACGTTTAGCTTGGACCATAGTTAATAGAGGAGACTATTATGCTTGGACGTAATCACCTGAATGTCTACGAAGTCCTATCATGTGATAACAGGCTATATAGGCCACTGAAAACAGGAGAGTTTACTGTAAGGGAAACAAAAGTTAAGTCTGCATTTTAGGCTGAGAAAGAACATGTAAAACGGTAAACTAAGTTACTCGGTAGATTATTTATTGTCGAGTAATGTAGTAAATGTACTTGTAAGCAAGAGCGTAGCCAGTTCCAAGCAAGTTGGGGGGTGGGGTGGTCTAATCGTCCGGCGGGGGCATAGTCCCCCAGATACATGGTCCCCCATATACACGTTTTATGATGATAATCTGAAAGCCACAGATTTGGTATATCTTATGTCACAGATGAAAACATTAAGAGCTGATCACACGCCCCACCTCCACCCCCCCTATTATTAATGAGTTTTGTTAATGAATTATTAATGAGTTTTTGAAGTCGATATATGATTTGGCTGAAAATTTTTTAATCAGTTTATCATTACCTTATTTCGCAAAATCAAGCCAATCAGTTGAGAGGGTTGTGCGCTCAATATTAAAGCCTGGTTTTCATTAAGTCGTGATGGAGATGTCGATGTAATAAAGTGGACAGCTCCAGTGGATATATATAGCTACCTGAAAAATATGAATAAAACTTTGCTTATATTTTTCGTATATTCTTTACATCGCAGCTGTTTGTCTCCCGCTACACTTGCACCGACTGTTCGAGATGTAATGCCTATATATATTTCATGTCGTCTGACATGACATGTCCTGATCGCCACAACAGTGGAACCAACTCTCATGCACTCTTATCCCCGTTTGATCCGGGCTTTAGAACATGGAAAGGCATGTTTACACAGGAGCTACAATCATGGCCAATTGTTGTGCAAGAATGACAGTTGCAATCTCAGAGTTATTATCTTCTAATTTACCCCCCCCCCCCGCCCGCTCCTATCAATGTTGCATTCTTTTACTATTTCATTTGATGCAGATATAACAGGATGATAACCTATGCACAGCCACACCAACATTGCGCACATGCATTTATTGCACAGAATAACCGTGATAAAGATTAACTTGCGCACGTGCTTATAATATTTCCGCGCGTTCCACAAACAATTGGTCACGATTATAGACTTCACTCTCCAAAATAATCTCAAGAGGTTTTATTTTAATTTCGATCTTGTTAGATCTTCATGATGTTCCTTCATGCAAAGTTAAAGAAACTGAAGCAGTACGAGAAGAAAGCTGAGCGGAAACAAGAAATACTTCGTGAAAAGAAATTGTTTGTTCTGGACAACTCATTACGTGAGAGTACTGTTGGACAACTCAGAGGTCATACGATTGAAAATAAATGGAAGATTTATGAAGAGGTAAATATAGTGATAATTTTATTGCCAATGATTTATTGTGTCACGAAGTTTGAAATTATAGTTTATACATTTAGTTCTTCTACTACGTCTCTTTGTCCATCTCTAAATCCTTCAAAAAACCCTATGGCCATCCTTATGGAGTATATAGCAGCTTATTTGTGACATTGTTTGATTGTTTTATAAATAATATTGCTGTTAATATTGTCATACAGTTATAGAAAAGCATTACAGCAGCACAACTGCACAATTTCATATTTGCTAAAACACTGTGCATGCTGCTCCACTGCAAATTATGTTTATTCCGAACACAAGCACTATAGTGGTGGTGCTCCAAAAGGTTCCATTGTTGGTCCATTATAACCATCAGTTCTTAGTTGTAAACAAAAATATGATTTTAACTGCTAGACTTGAGAATAAAACCAAGAATATATTGAACACTTTGTTATCGAATACGATTGTATTGAAACACTGTCAGCGAATATTTTTGAATAATTAATATTTGGGGGATTTTTAAATGTATTTTATTGGCACAATAAAAGGACGTTTACTGAACCAGTCAAACTCAACTATTATTGAAATACCTTTGGTCCGTGACAAGGATCAACATGCTACTTTGAATACAAACGCCACTGCAGTTATAGACCAATTAAAAAGCCCCATATTACCACACACCAAAGATGCACCCCCAAGTAAACAGAAGGAACGATTGCAAACACAGCAGCCCTCTAATATAACACAAAGAAAAATACTTAGCAAATCCCTAAAAGCAATATTCCTTGCCATTTTCTTTCACGGTAGGGGTGGTGTAGAAACAAAACTGTAACTTTAAACATCTGTATTCAAATGAGCCATCGGATAACGTGCCTAAATACAAAATACGTTGCCCTTTTCTACAACGGAGACGGTTTTGCTTGAAATGAGACCAATGTGACTTTTCACATAATGATATCCCAAATATTCCGTCGACTCAACGGCCTGACACGAATTACCCTAATCCTTTTTTATTCCACCAACAAAGGACAGCGACCCCAAATTTGTTACAATTCCGCCAAAATTGCAGCATGCAAGTTCTCCCAAATTACCCCATGGCACCATGGTCAACCACTCTTGGTTAACTGGACCTGTAATAGATATTCCAATATATACCCACTTCGTCTACGATGGTGAATGCAATCCCAACACGAATCTCGGTTAGAAGAAGCAAACAAACCAGACCGCAACACCCATAGAAATCTAAGTTATATTAATGGCATTAAACAGGAGTCCACCAAACCAAAACTGATCCTACAGTGTTTAGTAGTGAATGCCAGATCAATAGTAAAACCTGATGCTTATCCCGCATTATATGCTGAACTCAAAAATAATAATATTGACGTGTGCTGCATTTCTGAAACATGGTTACATCGGGTTTCCTAATTTGTCCTCCCGGCTTCTACATTATTAGAAAAGATAGACTAAGTACTCGCGGTGGTGGAGTGGCAATTTTATGTAGAAATGACTGGACAATTGAAAAAATACAATATATGGACATTTCGTTGAGTGCCTATGGGTAACAATTACCACTCAAAACTCAAATTTTAGTGTAGCAGTTGTATACCACCTCCTGAACATGATTGAAACTACAAACTGAACATGATTGAACATACAAACTCTCGAAACTTGGGCCACAGAATCCAATCTCTTGTTGAATGAAAATAAGACTAAGCAGATGCTCATAAGCACTCGACAGATGTCAAGAACTCATAATCTCGGAGACATCACGCTACCTCTTACCATAAAGAATCAATTCCTTGAGAGAGTTGAAAATTACTTGGTACGTGGCTTAGTGAGGATCTCAAATGGTCACATCATGTAAAGGAACTTGTCTCGTCTTGTTATGGAGTACTTTCAGCTTTGCGCAAAATTCGGATATGACACCCCAACATACTAAAAAGCTATTAGCAGAAAGTCTTGTACTTTCTAAGCTAAACTTTAATGATGTCGTTTGCTATTGTGTCACGTTTGTTATTGTGTCACTGGAGGGAAAAACACACCTATTAGCTCTCTTATTGAACCAGATGAAATAAATGCCCACTTCCAAAATATCAATACAGATCCCAATTGCTCAGCTCCCTCACTACTTGAAATTCCTCAGGAAACAAGAGCCCCTTCCCTTTCTACCAGTATATGGTTCACAATTTCTTAGAAAACAGCAACGTTCATCATCTGGCCCTGATGATTTACCGTATTGGAAAACGTACGCAGCTGAGTTGACCCCAGCCATAACAGAAATATTTAATGTATCCCTAAAACTTGGAATAGTACCTAATGTATGGAGGAGCAAATATTGTTCCAATTCCAAAAGAAACGGTCATTAATTCATGTCCTCAATTACGACCTGAATAGAAATAAAAAGAAGGAAAAACTTCCTCATGTGTTTCGACAAAAGAACTCAGATATTAATTTTTCTGACCCAGTTGTGATTGCTAACAAATTTAATGAATATTTTGTAAATGTTGGTCCAAATTTGGCAAAAGGTATTCGAAAAAATGATAGGCATGTCACTTGAAAAATATCTCGAAGGAAACTATAGAGAGAGTATGTTTGCTGAACCTGTTATTGAATATGAAATATTGACTGGGATTGATAACTTAAGCACAAATAAAAGTGCAAGACATGATAATACAAATGCCAAAATGATAAAACAACGAAACAAGAAGTCTGCAAACCTCTTGCACATATTTTCAATTTAACGTTTGATTCCGGATTAATCCCGGAATCCGACCATCGTTACTCCTATTTTTAAAGCAAATGAAAGATACCTGTTTGAAAATTATAGGCCATGCAATTTCAGTTCTCACATGTTTTTCAAAATTACTTGAAAAAATAATGCATAAAAGACTAATTTCGTATATTGAAAAACATAATATTTTATCTAAGCATCAATATGGTTTCAGGAAAAATCGGTCAACTGAACATGCTATAATTGAATTAACTGACAAAATTTCAAAAGCTATAGATGATGGTAAATATACAATCGGTATTTTCCTTGATCTATCTAAGGCTTTTGACGCAGTTAACCATGATATTCTCCTAAAAAAACTTGAACATTATGGCATAAGAGGAAATTGGCTAAAATGGTTTGAAAGCTACCTACACGAAAAAATGCAAATTGTTAAGTTTGCATGGTCATCATAAATCAAACAAATTGGTTATATCTACAGGGATTTTGCAAGGCTCTATTCTTGGGCCACTTCTTTTCCTGTTATATATTAACGACATTGAAACCTGTTGTACTATGTACTGTATATGCTGATGACACTAATGCATTTCACTCTGACAAATGCCTAAAATCATTAACGCATGTTATGCAAGAAAAATGAGTGAAGTAATTATAAAATGGCTAAACTTGAATAAATTATCTATAAATACAACAAAAGCTAAGTATATAGATTTTAAATCAAGAAATAAAGAATGTGAGAATGAAAGTGATATTAAACTTAATGGAATAATGATAACATTATACAACAGGCTTCTCATGTCAAATTTTTAGGTGTAATTTTAGATCGTGAATTAACATGGAAAAACCATTTAAACTCTGTTGTTAAACATATAATTAAATCTACGGCACTTATATTAGCAAAACTACGACATTATACACAAACAAAAATACGCTGAAGTTAATTTATTATTCATTGGCAGCCTCGTACCCAGGCGCTATGTGTTGTTCTATGGCTTGCGTGGCCTTTGCGTGGGCCGCGTGGATCAATTTGAACGATTTCCATTTTTATGGTTTATCCATATCTCATGCCTATAGGAATCTAGTATGGGGTAATACGTACACAACAAGGCTACAGAAAATACTAAATATACAGAAAAAAATTATCAGATTGAAAAGTTTTAAATCTTATCCTGAACACACTGAACCATTGTTTCAGAACTTAAAGATCTTGAATATCTTTAAGATCAATGACTATTTAAACGTTTAAGCATCTACAAAATTTACCTGAATTTTTTAATGGCTACTTCACACAGACTAATGAAGTACATCATTACAATACTCGGAATGCTAACAAATTACATGTTAATTTTAGTAGAACAAATGATGCAAAACATACTATTGTAAACAAGGGAGTTAGATATGGAATTCACTAGATAAAGAAATTAGCAATATTATGTTTTATTGTACTTTTAAGAAAAAGTAAAAAATATTCTTCTTGTAAAATATACTTAATTGTTATTATCTGTAAACTTTGTACAATTAGCTCATTATTACATTTAGTTTAAAATTTTCCTTACTTTATACTTGTATTTGTAAATAAATATTCCTATATTCTTTCGACATTTAATGCATGATTAACTTACTGTATAAAACAATTACAAAAAATATTATAGAACTAGGGACCTTTGAACAAAAAGCCTGAAAGGGTTTCATGAAGGCTACTTGCCCGTCTATTGTATACTTTGAAGATTGTAGAAATATTGTATAACTTTTCCATATGGGCAAATAAAATGAAATGAAAAAGACATATCTCACTAACAGACATAATAATGTCTTTTTAATAAGACTATTTGAGAGATGTGTGTACAAAAATGAGATCGCAGACATCACAAGAGATTTAATTGACTCTGATCAATATGCTTCCATTAAATAATAAATGCCAACATATATATATATATATGTGGTTAAGAAGTTTGGATAATGGAACTAAATACGCAAGAGTTCTTTCATTTGACCTTATTAAGTTTTTTTGATATAGTGAAGAAATTACCTCTCAACCCGTATGTAATTAATTGTTAATCAGTTTCCTGCAAGATCGTAAACAGAGAGTAACGGTCGATGGCATCACGACCGAGTTCTTGAGAATCAACCGTAGCGTGCCCCATGCGGGGACTGTTCTTGGTCCAATTCTATTTTCAATAATGGTTAACGATATTAAACCAACTGACCCAAGTAATGAACTCTGATGCAGATGATATAACTGTAAAAGCCGATGAAGATGATGATACAGGAATAACATAGGCGGTAGAAAACATACAACTATGGTCAGAAAATAACCATATGGCGTTGAATATGAAAAAACATATGAAATGATTGTTCGTGGGAAAACTCTAACACCCGTACCTATAGTTGCATTCCTCGGCGTCACTCTCGAAGAAATACCAAATAGATGGGACAGACACTTTGAAGAAATGCTAAAGAAAGCGAGTGAAAGAATGTACATATTACGAGTATGCAAATATTATGGCTTTACAGTAAAGCAGTTAGAACGTCTCTTTTAGAACTTAATTATGTCACTATTTACCTTTGGAATTGAACTCTGGAGAGGTGCATCCTACACTAAATACATAAGTCAAATTGACAAATTTGTTAATCGTGCATTCCGAAATGGGTATGTAACAAAAAAGTCAAAGGTGATATTAGAAAGAAACAAGAAACTATATGGTCGAAAACATTAAACAATAAAAAGAATGCGTTGCATTGAGGGAACTTCTACCCAACAAGTTAAGTCGAACTCTAAGACAAATCGAACTCTGCATGAGACAAATCACTTATGCCACTCCTGCGCTACACGTGATTCGTCAGCAATTGCTGTTTTCGTTTTGGTTAGGTTCCATCGCTTTAATTATATCCCCGTTTTGCGCACGCTTTGGAACCGTTGCTATGCTAACATATTTGTCCACTTGCTCGCAAACTTGTATTGATTCGCTCGCATCTCATCTCAGTTTTTGTACGCACATAATAAGGACGTTGTTCACTCACTGTTAGCTGTCTTAACAGTCCGCTGTTGCTCCTAAATCGCACCAATCCCACAAACGCGTTTTGTTCCACGGCAGCATGTACATCGCTGATAATTTCAATAGGTGACTTACTGCACGTTCTGTGATTATCGCTGCTCTCACTTACTTGTACATGTTCACCGCATTTGCTTGTCTAACAGGAATTTTTATGAATACTGGATGGACTGGGTTTTGTTTTTTTTGTCTTTTTCGGGGTACTCGCTTCACCTCTATCGTGATAGACTCGCACGACATTAATTCTCGATATGGTCGTTTGTTTCTTGCCTGCGCAGTTGTTCCCAGCCGTTTTTGGTTTTTCACGCATTCGAGATCATTAACTCCGCAATTGAGTTCCATATAGACAAGCCACTCGTCGCGCGCAATAAATTAATCGTACGTGTTTGCCTGTAGTTTACGGAGTTGGACTTCGTTTAGGCAAAGTATATAAATGGTAACCTTTCTCCAATACCGTTAGTCGGTTGGAGGATAACTTTGAAGGAGGTACCATTAGTTGACTAAGGATTTCACTAATCCTTATGCTGGTGATGGTGCTTGATTAGTTATGTGCATCTTAACCAGGTACCGATTCCATCCCAATCGGCGACGCAAATTTTTTTCCGTATAGACAGTCGGACTCCCCATTGATAGTCGGACGCATCATTGACCCGATTGATACTCTTCTTATTAGATGCGCTTCCCAGTGTGTCTTGCGCGCGCAATTGGTGATTTCAAAATATTGTTTTGCTTGGTTGAGGTGCCAAAATCTGAGCAGGACACATTGTGGCTTCATGCATATGTAATGTATAATACAACTTCTTGAAATTATATATTCGATTATTTTAGGTAAAAAAAGTTGGCTTTCAGGATATTATTGTAACATCGTTTTCCCATATGACCCGTGATGGAGATACATTTATTCGTCAACTGGCAGAAAAAGGAGAAGATTTTAGCAAATTTTACGCTTTTACAGAGTTTATTGAATCAATTGACAGTCGAACCAAAATTCCTGACACAGACACCATTCCTGTTGGCTTGATGAAAATGAAAGAGTTGGGCATTCGAAATCCGATCATAGAAGCTGATTTGTTTTATCCCAGCATCGACTACAAAATATTCAACGTGAAAAGAATTACCAAACTTTTCTCACAAAGAATGCAATGGGTACGAGAAAATCTTTCAAGAGATGCCAAAATTTTTATCAACCTTCGTGATATTGCTGACGCCATAATCAACAAACCAAAGCGTGTGTTTAAAGTTGTCAAATATCTTTCATCGTTGCCAGCAGACCAACGTCCTTTTGGATTGATATTTGAAGAACCAACAGGAAACTACTTGCCAGATCAACTTGGCGCTTGGACAGCCGCAGTACGTCAAGAAATGAACAAATGTGGTTTTCAAGATGGTCATTTGTTAGTTCATATTCATGAGAAGTGGGGATTGGCTCAAACGAGTCAGTTGGAATGTCTTATCAACGGAGCAAGCGGTATTTGGTGCAGTGTATGTGAAGAAGGAGCAGCCTTAGGTCATGCATGTTCTAGTGTGACCTTATTAAATATGATACGTTTGGGAAATGAACATGTCTTAAAACAATATAGTTGTGTTGAACTACGCAGAGCTGCTCAAGAAGTGACAAGAATAACAACCGGTCAGGAACCACATCCTAAACAACCTGTGTATGGTGAACGAGCACTGGATCTTGTCTTCGATGGTACGATGGGTTCAAATCCTGACGATGAAGGTTTCTGTATGGCAACATTCTTTGGACAAGAACCGCTGATGAGAATGTCAACATTAGCAACACCAAGAATGGTTCTAGCAAGACTAAAAACATTGTTTGGTGAAAATACTCAGTTTACAGAAGAACGAGCTCAGAGAATGCTTCAAGTCATGCAAGAAGATCTACATGAAAATAGAAAAGAGGAATACATGAGTAAAGTTGGTCTCGCTATCTTATTTGATCGATCTGGTGGCAAGCTTACCGAAGCAATGGCTAAGGCGGTTGAAGATGAAAAGCCTGAAACACTCCATGGTGAGAAGCTGATCGCACAAATACGGAAATTGTGGGACGTTTGGGATTTACGAGATGGTGTGAAAGATGACCAATTAGATTTTGATGCGTTTTATAACGGCTTCATGGCGCCGTACTTTGGCTGCTATAGATGTGATACAACCAGACGTGCACTGCAAGCAATTGATATGGATGAAGATGGCCAAGTGGACTGGAACGAGTTCTCGTTGTATCTAAAATGGGCCATTCGTGAATATCCAGAAACAAAAGATGCTCAGGAATTGCTTTCTATCGCTTTCCGTAAGGGCCTTATTCCTGCCATGCAAGACGAAGTATTGAAAGAAAGCTAATTTTCTTGTGGAAACTGGAAACACTATATCAAGAAACTTAGAACACTATTTCCAAAGTGAAATTTGCACCTCAAAGTTAACAGTTACTTCTAATTTGAAAGGAACAATGACGGCAAGGTGTAATTTTTAGGTTGTAACGGAATATATATCTGGATGGCCAGTCAATATGGCGCGCGCCCTGTTCTTGATTTTCTATACATATATTCATAATTGACGTCATTAATTATATAGTTTACCGCGTTTCTCCACAATTCTGCAGGCTTTATACAATTTCTAAAAACCAGCGTTAAACTATATCTATTAATTCATTTTAATAATATTATAAGAGATTTTATTAGCATGACAACCTCAATAAGTCCAAAATATAACGCAACTGCATATACTAAATAACGTAAGCCATAAAATGTTGTACATGCAATTTAAACGCACAACACCATATATGATTTCACATGCTTTTTCACATGTGAAGTGTTCAAATTCCACATAATTCCACATAAGTTCACATGTGAAATTAATTTTTACATAAGTCGATATGATCCTTAATTTCACATTGAAATGTTCCAATTCCACATAAACTTTCACAAGTGAAATGATATGTGAATTTTCCGTAAGGGCGTGATCACTACCGGTTTATCACAGTCTGTTTGCCTTTGGTGTTTACACAGATTCCATGCATATACTGTATGTATTTTTGCTGCTGTAAGCAGGCCGGTATGACAGCCGAGAGGCAAACGTTTATGCAAAAATATGGTCCTTAATCGTCACGTGCGTATTGCATTTTTGCAAAATACACCAACACAAGTTTTTAAGTTTCTAACTTTCCTAAAACATTGCTATTGGTTAGTTGGGCAAAAATACAATACAAACAAAAACAAAGCCGAATTCATATTAGAGACGGGAAACTGGTCTTAGACGGGAAACTCGTCTCAGACGGGAAACTCGTCTAATATGAATCCGGGCGCAGACGAGTTTCCCGTCTGAACTTTCCCTTCTAACTTACCCATCTAAACAGACGGGAAAGTTAGACGGGAATCTCGTCTAGACGGGAAACTCGTCTTAAATTCGAATTTACCCGTCCCGAAATTCATACTCAGACGGGTTTTCGCAGACGGGTTTTCGCAGACGAGTTTCCCGTCTAAGACTAGCCTGCGAACAGGCTCTCAAGCTGAATTGAGAGCCTGCATCGATGACTAATGAATTTGAATATCTGCCCCGTAACGTTCGTTTTTCCAAATATGGAATGTCTATCCTTATATGGTGTTGTTTACAAATTTCGTGCAAACTAAATTTAGACCGTGCAAACTAAATTTAGACGATTTATACTGTTTTTCGAAATATAAGATATTCAAGCAAAAGTTTAAATGTTTTAAATACTGTTTTCTCAAAACAGAACATTTCGTGCTTTGTGATAAGATGACCAAGACCAATTTGATCAGTTAATGTGTTTTTTATGCATAGTTCAGCAGTTGACATATATAGAGCTCAGCGGAAACGTATAAATTATAGCATCTGACCCTGATCTGACCAATGAGAATTTCGCGTCACGATTTGAGACGCAGATATTCAAATTCATTAGTCATCGATGCAGGCTCTCAATTCAACTTGAGAGCCTGTTCGCAGGCTTCCGTACGAGTTTCCCGTCCCTAATATGAATTCGGCTAATGAGTTAAATTAAACAACTTATATTGTTATTCTAATGAGTTTCAAACCATCTCTTCTATTAACTATGGTTTAATCACTCCGCTGGCAGCGTCGTGCCATAGGTTTAAAATAGGCCGTTTTCTGTCGTTTTCGCCGTCACAAACGAAATTCAGTTCAGTTTCAAAATGGCGGCCTTTCACTGAGTGACTCATTTGGAGTGACTAGCAGCCAGATGAGTGCTAGCAGCTAATAACAGAAAAGATCTGGCTTCATAATAAGCTTATATTTTAGCGCCACAAGGGGGGGGGGGGGGGGAAGCCTTTGCATTGGCGCCGGCAAGGGGAGAGGGGGCGAGGTAGTTTCAAAGTGTAGTTCTAGGGTAGGGTTAGGGATCAGTTAATTTAAAAATATGATTTTGACTATAAATGCCCGACTGTGATTTACAGGAGCCGAAGCTTTCCTGTCTACAGGCGCAAGTTACTTGAGTGGCCCACTGGAGTGATCTAGAGAGCTAGCTCTTCAATTCAGTTCCACGAGACTAGGCGCGCTGAAATATAAATAGAAGGTCCTTGGTCTTATCTAGGCTGCTATGACTGTAGAAAAGCTAAACCAACTTAATTTATAGTTATACTGGATAGCTCTATCACTTCAGTCTTTAAACTGTACTCCTATACTTGGACTGTTGGAGGTAGGGCCGTAGCGACCGGGGTGTGTGTGTGTGTGGGGGGGGGTTGCAACACCCCCTAGACTGCTCATGAGCAATTTCAGGTAGATTTCCAGTAGATTTCAGGTAAATTCAGGTAATTCTCAGGGCATAAAAAAGTGAACTCTATAGTCTGAATCAGAATTATAGAGTTAACAATCGAACAAACTAAAGACGTTGAGACGTGTTCTGGCAGGGGGACAATTGCCAAATACCCTTTCTGACGATCTGGAGACTCCAATTTTCAAAATTCTCTCAATTTTCCTATAGTCACAATGTAAGTAGCAATACTTATCTTCATTGTAATTCCCTGAATGTCTATAAGAAGTCTTGTCATGTGATATTTGCCCATGGGTATGGCCAAGAAAACGGGAAAGGGCATTTTTAATAGGCCGAGAAGAACATGAAAAATTGTAAAATAAATTACTCGGTAGCATAATTCTTCTCGTTCCCGAGATACTTTAAGTGTGATTTGATATGTATAAATGAAATAAATCTATAGTCACACAATGTAAGTAGCAATACTTATCTTCATTGTTAGGCAATACTAAAATATTGAAAGATTGGGTAGGAAAAACTCAAAATGCCATTTCCGACGGTCTAGCATTTTAGGCCGAGAAGTACATGAAAAACTGTAAAATAAGTTACTCGGTAGCATAATTCTTCTCGTGTGATTTGATATCAGTAAATGAAATAAATCATTAAATCTATAGTCACAATGTAAGTAGCAATACTTTCTTCATTGTTAGGAAGTAGCAATACTTATCTTCATTGTTAGGCAATACTAAAATACTGAAATATTGGGTAGGTAAGACTCAAAATGCCATTTCCGACGGTCTAGCGACTTGAAATTTTCAAAAACGTTTGCTCGGCGCCAACGCAGGCGTTGCAAAATCAGGCAAAAACGTTCAGTTGGAAAAATTCAGGTATAAATCTAAAGTATCTAACCTCACACCCGGTTGGAGGTCGAGTGTGTTTGGTCATATTTGGTTGAGTCACTCAGTGAACGGACTCTCAAATAACTCTCATATAATTAGTCATATATACGTCGAAGGTACAGAAAGGCATACATAAAAGGCATCTACCATTCTACCATTGTGGCACATTAATTTCGTGAAAGCCAAGCCAAATTATAACTTCTTCTGTCGCAATAAATGTTGTACATAATAATGTACGTATAGGTGTAAATTATTTTTGTAAATATAATTGTTTGGTATTTATGGGAACATATAGCTTTCGATCCGTAAGCCTGCATGCATGGACCCATGAAGACCAGTCTTGGACTGAAAACTTCGCCAAAGGCGAGGCAAAGAATTATAAACGTATTCACAAAACAGAGTTGCAAAGAGCGTTCAACTTTCCACGCTGTAAAATTTCAAGTTTTCAAACCTTTCTCAAAATAATGTGAATTATGCCTTTTACAAATTGCAAACTATATAAATTATGTCATTCAAAATCGGCTTCTTATTCCTATTTCTATTCGGCTATTCAGTAGTTTTTAGCATTGATCAGCTGGTTGATTGCATTGCTATTGCCAGAGTTAGCCGTTAGGAAATGTTATACCACAAATTTGCGATTTTAATACACCTATAAATTATAGCTTATTTACTGTCATATTTGTTGAACCAAACGTGAACAAATGCGCGACACCTGCACATTTTACAGAATATCTTTTTCAGTTTTTATTGTTTTCTCCTCCGTATTCTCCAATATGATAGCCATCCAGTGTCGTTACTATCACAATAGTTACTAACACAACATCAGCATCCTGCCAATTTCAACCTGCCTAATGAAGTACCATTTACTTGTTTTATGATGTTGGTGTCGAGTAGAGACTAGAGTGTTCTACATTAAACCTTCCTCACTGATCCGCCATGTGGTATAAACCTTCCTCACGGGTAGTATCCGCATACCCGCAGCCAGGGGCGAAACTTGAGGGGGGTATGGGTGGGGGGTGACACCCTCCAAAATACGAATCGTCTGGATTGGCAGGGCGAATCATCTGGATTGGCAGGGCAATCAAAGATTTTAAATGACTAGAATGTAGAGTTATTAAGTAACTTACAGGGCTTCCAGAGGGAATTGAATAGAATTTATAGACCTCAATTTTACAGATATTGGTCCAAAAGTAAGGGTTTCACGCATGTTTTAACAAGAATTTGTAGGGAAAAAATATTTTGACCCTTAATTTAACTGGTTTATGTCCGGAATTTTTTTTTTCAACTTCCCCTCCGCTCGTCAACATTTTTGGGGAAAATAGTGGCCAAAAAAAATTTGGTGCAGGGCATCATCGGCTTTTGCAGGGCAATTCTAGCAGACACCACCCTAATTAAAAGGGGCTAGTTTCGCCCCTGCCAGCAGCTTTTTTGAAACTCTGCGGCACAAAACAAAAACAATTATGTTTATTTTCATACCATGCAAACCTCAGACAAGGTCGACGATCTTATGGTCGTTTATTAATGATATATCTTTAAAAAGCAAATTAAAATGCGTGATAGCCAGCGAAGCTAGCCATGGCAACTGGTCATAACATTTGCATAGCATGACATGTTGCTATATGCCTATATATGGCTTTTTAATGTCGGCAAATGAAAATATTTCGAAAGTTCGGTACTTTTAATATTTTTAGCTTTGGCGTAATTGCCTGAAATCTGAATGTCTATAAGAAGTCTTGTCATGTCTTGTCATGTGATATTTGCCCATGGGTATGGCCAAGAAAACAGGAAAGGGTAACAAAATCTATGACCCGAAGACGCGCAGCGTCCGAGGGCATTATCACATATCGTAAAAACAATCGCTTTCAAAAGAAATCCGTCGGGCAGAACATGAATGTATGAATTTAATCTTTGATTGAGTAGGTTTTCTTTCATGTGCCGAGGTGATTATTTTTAATAATCACCATGAATATTAATTAGCTGAAAAGATGAAGGAAAACTCAGAAATGAGAAAATCGTCGTTCAAAGCAGACGAAACAGACAAAACTTTGTTGGAAAACCTCCTCAATCAAAAATTAAATATGATAAACACCTCGAAAGTCGGGATTTATGTCAGATAATGCCCTCGGACGGTGCGCGTCTTCGGGTCATTATCTGACTCCTTCTCGGTGTTTATCCTACATACATACCC